AAACCAAATATACACCGAGCAAACAAACATGCTATAGCCAATGAGACCAATTCTAGCATAGAAGAGTTTACTATTATTTTGAATATTTAAAAATTCATTACCATTTATAAAAGTATGCATCTTTCAGGCTTATCTCTTGGCTGAAGCTTCTAATTCGAGAAGCTTCGTATGATCTGCTGTCTCTGTGATTGCAGCTATCCAACTGCGTCTATTAGGAGCTGGGCCTTCCCATGACAATGGATTAATGATGAAGTCATTCCGAGAGATTTGCTGGTTGTCTTTGCTGCGGTTTTTTTTTGTTTAAATTTTTTTAAAATGAGCTTTGAGGACAGCTCCGAATGAAAATTAAGTACTTCTTTCAGGATTCTGAAATTCTTACAACATGACAAGCCCAGAGAAGTTGATTCCTTTGGATCTTAGAAAACCGACTCTCGGCATTTGCCCTTTTGAGGGTTTCGGTGTTTGATACTTTGTCCTTTAATTTGATGTAAAAAATTCTCCTGTCACGTTTCATGTGGAAAGGGATGGTATGGCTTTGGTGCACTGTTCAGGTCTCGGCAACGGTATAGTTCTTTCAGTATTGTCTCTGTGCGAATGTTACAGCAGTCCCAAACCCCTGTTCGGAGTCTTCCAAAAGATGCACTAGCTTTAAATTCGTACGTAAAGCTATTTCAGCAACAATGCGGGCATTGGGTGAAGCTTCTAATTCGAGAAGCCTCGTATGATTTACTGTCTCTGTGATTGCAGTTATCCAACTGCGTCTATTAGGAGCTAGGCCTTCCCATGACAATGGATTAATGATGAAGTCATTCCGAGAGATTTGCTGGGTGTCTTTGATGCAGTCAAAAGCTTTTAAATGCTCTAAATGTGTCAACATTTTCTCTACCAGAATTAGTTTCATTTGCCATCAGAATTCACAAGTCATTTTAAACTGTTTCTTCTGCATGTATTTTCCGTAAGGAGTATTCTCCTCTGCAGATACATAACGGTCATGGTCAGGCATTGACGGACGAAGCAGTATTATATTCTTGATCTTATTCTTGTTGTTGCTGTTGCTGTTGCTGTTGCTGTTGTTGTTGCTGCTGCTGCTGTTGTTGTTGTTGTTGTTGTTGTTGTTGTTGTTGTTGTTGTTGTTGTTGTTG